GTGCCATGTTGTATATTTACCATGTAACTTATCTGTGTTGTTATTCCAGGTGCATATCGTCCATGTTCCAGTGTGATGGGGAAGTCGACTGTGCACAATCGGAGGACGAAACGAGATGCAGTAACTAAACATTCATTTACATATGTTTTTCATATGTTTTAGGCTTTAGGTGTCGTCAAAAGCTTTGATAGCATTACCTTAATAATAGGTTATTAAATTCACTAACCGATCTTAGCACAATTAGGATATATCTATGCAGTCATTGTTGTCTGAATCGTCTTATGAATGCAACTGAGTAACACGTACTCGTTAAACATTCTACCTGATTAAATGACAAATATAACTACTGTAATGATTTAACCGTGAGCTTTAATTCACATTTTATGGGTAATATTCGCTATAAACGTGTACATTTCTGTTTTCTATTACAGATTACATTTTACCAAAGTTCACCAAGAGTGAAAATGTATCAACGACAGCTGTGATCCGACAGACATATGGTACTATTCCTGTAGAACTTGTGAGTCAAACAATGCTTATTTGGTATTTGGTTTTCTGTGACAAGATTATTCCGAATTTAGCAGATAGATTGTAAATTGTTATAGCAAACGCGCATTGTAAGCGTGTACTCTTAATTACGAAGAATGATGAAGAGGGGGTGGGGGAGGTAGTATTAATAGAAGTATTAGTTGTTGGTACTAGGGAACAGAGGTACAAGTTGGGTAGATTGTTATTAACTTAAACATCCCTACTGTAATGCATACAGAACAAACAAACACCGTACTAATAGTATACAAGATGCTTCTTCACTATGATAATGTTTAATGTTTGTCTATTTTCAGTGTGCTAAATTTTGCTTTGAGGAAAAGAAATTCACATGTAACTTATTTTCATATCGAAAAGCGTGGAAATACTGCTATTTATCTTCAAAAGAAAATCAAGTCAGCAGCTGGACCTCTAATTCTGACTACGATACATATGCACTAGGACCAACATGATCAGCGCAGTACACTATAACACAAAGATAACGAGCCTTACAACCAGCCATGCACCGAAAGATATCCGGTCACGTCCAGGCAAATAAGCTTCGGTTATATTTTTTTTAAATATTGACCCTGTTGATGTAATCTGTAAAGTGAGAAGTCGATGCTGTTTCATTTCGTACCAACATGTTGTGAAAGAAGTTACACACGGGAACTTTTACGGATGTGAATAATTGTATTTGTACACAGTCTTGTTACATAAATAACTTTGCAATAGAAACAAAGTTTGATGTTTGTTGATGAGTTTAGAACTTAATAAGTATATTCTGGGCATTTACGCAAAGGCTCCTGCTGTTAAAATGAATGTAAAGGGTGTGAACAGGACATGTCGTACCATAATCACTTAAACAACTGTTTATCAATGCAAGCAAGTGTGTATTTAGTCTGTTTGCTAATAAATGGTTGCTTATCTAATTAATTATTGATGTTATTCTGAAGTCTTTTCGTTGAATCAATTGAACAATTTACATTATATAGTTCTGTAAAACTTGTATGTATGTTAAATATTGTCTCGTATATCTGTCGAAGCTTACGTAACATATGTGGCTATCCTGATTTAAAAACGACAGCCGCTAGATACATTGTAGAATCGTATAAATACATTGTAGAATTGTAAAAGATTCATTATAAAAGTATATAGATATAGTGTACAATTGTATAGATACAGTGTAAAATTGTATAAATACATTGTAGAATTGTATAGATACATTGTAGAATTGTACAGATACATTGTAGAATTGTATAAATACATTTATACAATTGTATAGATACATTACACAATTGTAAAGATACATTGTAAAATTGTATAAATACATTGTACAATTGTATAGA